CACTTATTCCTGCTCTGATCATTATTTCTTTTCTTCTACTAATTATGAGTTTGGCTTGCTCTTGCTTTTCTAGTTTTTAAAGATGTATTGATAGGTTGTTTGCTTGAGGTTTTTCTACCTTTTCGACGTAGGTGTTTATAGCTATAAACATTCCTGTTAGTACTGCTTTTGCTCTATCCCATAGATTTTGGTATGTTTTATTTCCATTATCATTCGTTTCAAGAAATTTTTCAATTTCCATCTTAATTTCTTCATTGACTCACTGGCCACTCAGGAGCATATTGTTTAATTTCTATGCATTCATATGGTTTCTAAAATTCTTCCTGTTATTGAGGTTTTTTTTTCTTTTTTTCTATTTTGTTATTGATTTTTAATTTTATTCCATTGTGATCCAAAAAGATACTTGTTATTTGAATATTTTATGACTTCTTCTGTGGTCTAACATGTGGTCTATCCTTGAGAATGATCTATGTGCTGAGGAGAAGAGTGTATATTCTGCAGCCAGTGAATGAAAAGTTCTGTAAATATATATTAGATCCATATATAGTGCAGATTAAGTCCAGTGTTTGTTGATTTTCTGTCTGGATGATCTGTCTAATGCTGAAAGTGGAGTATTGAAATCTCCAGTTATTATTATATTGGGGTCTTTGTCTTTCTTTAGCTCTGGTAACATTTGCTTTATATATCTGAGTGTTCCAGTGCTGGGTACATATATATTTAAAATTGTTATATCCTCTTGCTCAATTGACACGTTTATCATTATATGATGACCTTCTTTATCTTTTCTTATAGTTTTTGTCTTGAAATATGCTTTGATAAAAGTATGGCTACTCTGTTTTTTTTTTGGTTTCCATTTGCATGGAATGTTTTTCCATCCCTTTATTTTCAGCCAATGTATGTCTTTATAGGTAAAGTGTGTTTTTTTGTGGGAAACAGATCGTTGGGTCCTGTTTTTTTTTGTTTTTGTTTTTGTTTTTTAAACCTATTCAGCCAGTCTTTCTTTTGATTGGAGAGGTAGTCTGTTTACATTCAATGTTATTATTGATAAGTAAGGACTTACTCCTGCCATGTAGTTATTTGTTTTCTGGTTGGGTTGTGGTCTTCTCTTCCTTCTTTCCTTCCTTCTGGTCTTCCTTTCAGTGAAGATGATTTTCTTTGGTAGTATTAATATGGATTGGCTGTATCCCCACCCGAATATCATCTTGAATTGTAGCTCCCATAATTCCCACGTGTAGTGGGAGGGACCTGGTGGGAGATAATTGAATCATGTCAGTGGTTTCCCTCATACTGTTCTTATGGTAGTGAATAAGTCTCATGAGATCTAATGATTTTATAAGGAGTTTCCCCTTTTGTTTGGCTCTCATTCTTTCTTGCCTGCCACCATGTAAAATGTCTTTTGCTCTTTCATCATGACTGTGAGGCCTCCCCAGCCATGTGAAACTGTGAGTCAATTAAACCTTTCCTTTATAAATTACCCAGTCTCGGGTATGTCTTTATTAACAGTGTGAGAACAGACTGATACAAGTATGTTTTAATTTCTTGCCTTTTATTTTGTGTGTGTTTGTCATATGTTTTTTGATTTGAGGTTACCATGAGGCTTGCAAATAATGTCTTAAAATCCATTATTTTAAACTGATGACAACTTAACACTGATTGTATAAATAATCAAAGGGAAAACTAACAAAAACTCTACACTTTAGCTTCATCCCCACTCTTTTTTTGTTGTTTCTATTTATAGATTATTGTACTATTACTTGAAAAGTTGTTGTAGTCATTATTATTATTATTATTGTGAGACAGGGTTTTGGTCTGTTGCCCAGGCTGGAGTGTAGTGGTGTGATATAGCTCACTGCAGCCTTGACCTAGCAGGCTCGAACAATCTTCCCACCTCAGCCTCCTGAGTAGCTGGGACTACAGGCACTTGACACTACACCTAGCTAATTAAAAAAATTTTTTTTCTGTTAGGAATAGGGTCTCACTGTATTGCCCTAGCTGGTCTCAAACTTCTGGGTTCAAGGGATCAGCCCGCCTCAGCCTCCCAAAATGCTGGGATTGTAAGAGTGAGCCACCAAGCCTGGCCTGTAGTTATTATTTTTGATAGATTCACCTTTAGTCTTTCTACTCAAGATATGAGTAGTTTACATGCCACAGTTACAGTGTTATAATATACTATGTTTTTCTGTGTATTTATTATTGCCAGTGAGTTTTGTTCCTTTAAATGATTTATTATTGGTTATTAATATCCTTTTCTTTCAGATTGAAGAACTCCCATTAGAATTTTCTTCTTGTAGGACAGGCCTGCTGTTGGTGAAATCTCTCAGCTTTTGTTTGTCTGGGAAATACTTTATTTCTCCTTAATTTTTTTTTTTTTAAATAGAGATGGGATCTCTCTGTGTTGCCCAGGCTGGTCTTGAACTCCTGGGTTCAAGTGATCCACCCACCTCAGCATCCCAAAGTGCTAGGATTACAGGCGTGAGCCACCAGACTTGGCCTCCCCTTCACTTTTAAAGGATATTTTCACTGGATACACTTGTCTAGGAAACCTTCTCTTTAATGCCAGGAACTCTTAGTTTGCCCTTTTGAGTTTATTTTTTAGATTTCCTAGGTATGTTTCATTCTTTTAAATACTTTTTCTTTTGTCTCTTGTGACCGTATATTTTCAAATAACATGTCTTTAAACTTACTAATTCTTCCTTCTTCTTCATCAATTCTGCTTTTAAGAGACTCTGGTGCATTTTTCAGTATGTTAATTGCATTTTCAACTCCAGAATTTCTGCTTGATTCTTTTAAATCATTTCTATCTCTTTGTCAAATTTTTCTGAGAGGATTCTGAATTCCTTCTCCGTGTTATCTTAAATTTCATTGGGTTTCCTAAAAACAGCTACTTTGAATTCTCTGTCTGAAAGATTACATATCTCTGTCTGTCCAGGATTGGTCCCTGGTGCCTTATTGAGTTTGTTTGGTGAGGTTGTATTTCCCTGGATAGTCTTGGTGCTTGTGGATGTTTGTTGGTGTCTGTGCATTGAAGAGTTAGGTATTTATTGTAGTCTTCATAATCTGGGCTTGTTTGTAATCATCCTTCCAGATATTGAAGGGTCTTGGGTATTGTGATATAAATTTTGTCATTGCAACCATATCTGCATTAGGGGGCACCCCAAGTCCAGTAATGCTGTGGTTTGTGCAGACTTGTAGAGGTACCACATTGATGGTATTGGATAAGATCCCAAAGAATTCCCTGGATTACTAGGGGCAGATTCTTGTTTTCATCACTAACTTTCTCCCAAACAAATGTAGTCTCTCTGTGCTAAGCTGCCTGGAACTTGGGGAGGGGGTGACACAAATACCCTGTGGCCACACCACTAGGACTGCACTGGGTCAGACCTGAGACCAGCATAGCAGTTGATATTACATAAGGCCCATGGCTACTGCCTATGTTCCATCAAGGCCCTAGGGCTCTAAAATCAGCAGGTGGTGAAGCCAGTCAGGCTTGTGTTCTTCTTTTCAGCGTAGTGAGTTCTTCCTGGCCCTGGGTGGGTCCAGTGATGCTGTCCAGGAGCCAGAGCCTTGAGTCAGACATCTTAGGAATCTACCTGGTGCTCTGTTCTACTGTGGCTGAGCTGGCACCAATGCAACAAGACAAAGTTCTTCCCACTCTTTCCTCCTCTTTCCACATGAAGAGGAGTTTATCCCTGTGGCCGCCACCATCCCAGGCCCATGGCATGTACTATTTGGCTCCCACTGATGTTCACTCAAGGCCCAAGGGTTCTTCAATCAGCATGTGGTGAATGCTACCAGGCCGGGGACTCTCCTTTCAGGCAGTGGGCTCCTCTGTGGCCCAGCGCAGGTCCAGAAATGTCTTCTAAGGGCCAAGACCTGGAATTGGGGATCCCAAGAGTCTGCTTGGTGCTCTGACCCCACTCCATTAAGCCATTTTTGCATTGCTATAAAGAAATACCTGAGACTGGGTAATTTGTAAAGAAATGAGGTTTACTTAGCCCACAGTTCTGCAGGCTTTACAGGAAGCATGGTACCCATATCTACACAGTTTCTAAGGAGGCCTTAGGAGGTTTCCAATCATGGCAGAAGGCAAAGGGGAAGCAGGCATGTCACATTGCAAAAGCAGGAACAAGCGAGACAGAAAGCGGGGAGGGGGATGCCATACACTTTAAACCATCCAGATCTCGTGTGAACTCAGAGTGAGAACTCATTTACCACCAAGGGGATGGCTGAAGCCATTCATGAAGGATCTACAACCATGATTCAAACACCTCCCACCAGGCCCCACCTCCAGCATTGGGGATTACATTTCAACCTGAGATTTGGGCGGGGACAAATATCCAAACTATATCAACCACTGTGGCTGAGCTGGTACCTAGGCTGCAAGACAAAGTCCTCTTTACTTGTTCCTCTCCTTTTCTCAAGCAGAAGGAGTCTCTCCCTGTAGTGACCACAGCTGGGAAGCCGGTATGTCTCTGAATCTCACCCAAGGCCAACGGTGAGCACTGCTTGGTGCTTATTCATCAGTGCTACCACTGATGATTATTCAGTGCCCAGGATGTCTTTAGTCAGCAGGTGATACATTTTGCCAGGACTAGGTCTTTCCCTTCAAGGGAGTGGGTACCCTTCTGGCCAACAATATGGCTAAAAATTTCATCCAGGCGCAAGGGCCTGGAATGGGGCCTCAAATCTCTGCCTGGTGCCCTATCCTACTGTAACTGAGCTGGTATCTATGTTGCAAGGAAAAGTCCTTTTTACTCTTCCTGCTCTGCCTCTCAAGTAGAAGGAAGGAGTCTCCTGAAGCTGTGAGCTGCACTGCCTGGGGTAGGGAAAGGGGTGGCATATACACTCCCTTGGCTGCCCTGGCTAATGTCTCACTAGGTCACATTCCCCACAAGTCCACTGACTCTGAGCCCAGCACAGCACCAGGCCTTGCCCAGGCATTTCAGTCCTTATGGCGTAGACTGCCTTTCAAGCTTATTTAGAACGACAGAGCATTTTACCTCATGGTGGCAGGACTTGCTGGAATTCAGGTTTTGACTGCTGGGATGGGCTATTACTCTCTGGTTAGGGCTGGTCTAAATCTTCCCTCTGTCAGTGCTGGGTGAATTCTGCTTGATGTTCCTTTCTGCTGTGACGACAGTGTTGCTTGGGCAACACTGAGTTCCAAAGCCCCACAATTACTATGTTCTCCCTCCCCTAAACACCCTGATTCTTTCTCGGTGCCACATGGTTGCAGCTGGGGGTGGAGAAGGGTGGGGCTGACAATTAAAGACCATGTTTCTGAGCCTCTTCAGTGCCTCTTTCAGTGATGTGAAGTAAAAACCAGGCACTGTCACCACTCACCTGATTTTTTTTCTTATGAAGGTGCATTTTTTTTTTTTTTTTTTTAGCATGGATAGTTTTTCAGTTTGGTATTCTAGGGTGAACCATTGATAGAGGCTTCTATTGGGCCATTTTACTGCCAGATTTTCAGTTTTCTTCTAGATATTTTATAGTTTTAGCTTGTACATTTAGGTGTATGATCTATTTTGAGTTACTCTTTGTTAAGGGTTGAAGTTCATTTTTTATTTTTATCTTTTTTTTTTTTTTAAATTATACTTTAAGTTCTAGGGTACGTGTGCACAACGTGCAGGTTTGTTACATAGGTATACATGTGCTGTGTTGGTTTGCTGCACCTATTAACTCATCATTTATATTAGGTATTTCTCCTAATACTATCCCTCCCCCTGCCCCCCCATCCCATGACAGGCCCCTGTGTGTGATGTTCCCCGCCCTGTGTTCAAGTCATCTCATTGTTCATTTACCACCTATGAGTGAGAACATGTGGTGTTTGGTTTTCTGTCCTTGTGATAGTTTGCTCACAGTGATGGTTTCCAGCTTCATCCATGTCCCTGCAAAGGACATGAACTCATCCTTTTTAATGGCTGCATAGTATTCTATGGTGTATATGTGCCGCATTTTCTTAATCCAGTCTGTCACTGATGAACATTTGGGTTGGTTCCAAGTCTTTGCTATTGTGAATAGTGCCACAGTAAACATATGTGTGCATGTATCTTTATAGTAGCATGATTTATAATCCTTTGGGTATATACCCGGTAATGGGATTGCTGGGTCAAATGGTATTTCTAGTTCTAGATCCTTGAGGAATTGCCACACTGTCTTCACAATGATTGAACTAGTTTACACTCCCACCAACAGTGTAAAAGTGTGCCTATTTCTCCACATCCTCTCCAGCATCTGTTGTTTCCTGACTTTTTAATGATTGCCATTCTAACTGGTGTGAGATGGTATCTCATTGTGGTTTTGATTTGCATTTCTCTAATGACCAGTGATGATGAGCATTTTTTCATGTGTCTGTTGCCTGCATGAATGTCTTCTTTTGAGAAGTGTCTGTTCATATCTTTTGCCCACTTTTTGATGCTTTTTTTTTTCTTGTAAATTTGTTTAAGTTCTTTGTAGATTCTGAATATTAGCCCCTTGTCAGATGGATAGATTGCAAAAATTTTCTCCCCTTCTGTACGTTGCCTGTTCACTCTGATGGTAGTTTCTTTTGCCATGCAGAAGCTCTTTTGTTTAATTAGATCCCATTTGTCTATTTTGGCTTTTGTTGCCATTGCTTTTGGTGTTTTAGTCATGAAGTCCTTGCCCATGCCTATTTCCTGAATGGTATTGCCCAGGTTTTCTTCTTGGGGTTTTATGGTCTTAGGCCTAACATTTAAGTCTTTAACCCATCTTGAATTAATTTTTGAATAAGGTGTAAGGAAGGGATCCAGTTTCAGCTTTCTACATATGGCTAGCCAGTTTCCCCAGCACCATTTATTAAATAGAGAATCCCTTCCCCATTTCTTGTTTTTGTCAGGCTTGTCAAAGATCGGATGGTTGTAGATGTGTGGTGTTATTTCTGAGGCCTCTGTTCTGTTCCATTGATCTATATATCTGTTTTGGTCCCAGTACCATGCTGTTTCAGTTACTGTAGCTGTGTAGTATAGTTTAGAGTCAGGTAGTGTGATGCCTCCAGTTTTGTTCTTTTTGCTTAGGATTGTCTTGGCAATGTGAGCTCTTTTTTGGTTCCATATGAACTTTAAAGTAGTTTTTCCCAATTCTGTGAAGAAAGTCATTGGTAGCTTGATGGGGATGGCATTAAATCTATAAATTTCCTTGGGCAGTATGGCCATTTTCACAATATTGATTCTTCCTATCTGTGAGCATGGAACGTTCTTCCATTTGTTTGTGTCCTCTTTTATTTCATTGAGCAGTGGTTTGTGGTTCTCCTTGAAGAGGTCCTTCACATCTCTTGTGAGATGGATTCCTAGGTATTTTATTCTCTTTGTAGCAATTGTGAATGGGAGTTCACTCATGATTTGGCTGTCTCTTTGACTGTTAATGGTGTATAGGAATGCTTGTGATTTTTGCACGTTGATTTTGTATCTTGACATTTTGCTGAAGTTGCTTATCAGCTCAGATTTGAGCTGAGATGATAGGGTTTTCTAAATATACAATCATGTCATCTGCAAACAAGGACAATTTGCCTTCCTCATTTCCTAATTGAATACACTTTATTTCTTTTTCTTGCCTGATTGCTCTGGCCAGAACTTCCAACACCATGTTGAATAGGAGTGGTGAGAGAAGGCATCCCTGTCTTGTGCCAGTTTTCAAAGGGAATGCTTCCAGTTTTTGCCCATTCAGTATGATATTGGCTGTGGGTTTGTCATAAATAGCTCTGATTATTTTGAGATATGTTCCATCAGTACCTAGTTTATTGAGAGTTTTTAGCGTGAAGAGCTGTTGAATTTTGTCAAAGGCCTTTTCTGCATCTATTGAGATAATCATGTAGTTTTTTTCATTGGTTCTGTTTATGTGATGGATTACTTTTATTGATTTGCATATGTTGAACCACACTTGTATCCCAGGGCTGAAGCTGACTTGATTGTGGTAGATCAGCTTTTTGATGTGCTGCTGGATTCAGTTTGCCAGTATTTTATTGAGGATTTTTGCATTGATGTTCATCAGGGATATTGGTCTAAAATTCTTGCCAGGCTTTGGTATCAGGATGATGTTGGCCTCATAAAATAAGTTAGGGAGGATTCCCTCTTTTTCTATTGATTGGAATAGTTTCAGAAGGAATGGTACCAGCTCTTCTTTGTACCTCTGGCAGAATTTGACTGTGAATCCGTCTGGTCCTGGACTTTTTTTGGTTGGTAGACTATTAATTATTGCCCCAATTTCAGAGCCTGTTATTGAATCTCTATTCAGAGATTCAAATTCTTCCTGATTTAGTCTTGGGAGGGTGTATGTGTCGAGGAATTTATCCATTTCTTCTAGATTTTCTAGTTTATTTGCATAGAGGTGTTTATAGTATTCTCTGATGGTAGTTTGTATTTCTGTGGGATTGGTGGTGATATGCTCTTTATCATTTTTTATTGCATCTATTTGATTCTTCTCTCTTTTCTTCTTTATTAGTCTTGCTAACAGTCTATCAATTTTGTTGACCTTTTCAAAAATCCAGCTCCTGGAGTTATTGATTTTTCGAAGGGTTTTTTGTGTCTCTTATCTCCTTCAGTTCTGCTCTGATCTTAGTTGTTTCTTGCCTTCTGTTAGCTTTTGAATTTGTTTGCTCTTGCTTCTCTAATTCTTTTAATTGTGATGTTAGGGTGTCGACTTTAGACCTTTCCTGCTTTCTGTTGTGGGCATTTAGTGCTGTAAATGTCCCTCTACACATGGCTTTAAATGTGTCCCAGAGATTCTGGTACGTTGTGTTTTTGTTCTCATTGGTTTCAAAGAACTTATTTATTTCTGCCTTTATTTTGTTATTTATCCAGCAGTCATTCACGAGTTGTTGTTTCCATCCAGTTGTGCAGTTTTGAGTGAGTTTCTTAATCCTGAGTTCTAATTTGATTGCACTGTGGTCTGAGAGATAGCTTGTTGTGATTTCTGTTCTTTGACATTTGCTGAGGAGTGCTTTACTTCCAATTGTGTGCTCAATTTTAGAATAAGTGTGATGTGGTGCTGAGAAGAATGTATATTCTGTTGATTTGGGGTGGAGAGGTCTGTAGATTTCTATTAGGTCCAATTGGTGCAGAGCTGAGTTCAAGTCCTGGATACCCTTGTTAATCTTCTGTCTCGTTGATCTGTCTAATATTGATAGTGGGGTGTTAAAGTCTCCTATTATTATTGTGTGGGAGTCTAAGTCTGTTTGTAGGTCTTTAAGGACTTGATGAATCTGGGTGCTCCTGTGTTGGGTGCATATATATTTTGGATAGTTAGCTCTTCTTGTTGAACTGATCCCTTTACCATCATGTAACGGCCTTCTTTGTCTCTTTTGGTTTTCTTGGTTTAAAGTCTGCTTTATCAGAGACTAGGATTGCAACGCCTGCTTGTCTTTGCTTTCCATTTGCTTGGTAGATCGTCCTCCATGCCTTTATTTTGAGCCTATGTGCATGTTTGCACGTGAGATGTGTCTCCTGAATACAGCACACTGATGGGTCTTCACTCTTTGCAATTTGCCAGTCTGTATCTTTTAATTGGAGCATTTAGCCCATTTACATTTAAGGTTAATATTGTTGTGTTTGAATTTGATCCTGTCATTATGACGTTAGCTGGTTATTTTGCCCATTAATTGATGCAGTTTCTTCCTAGCATTGATCGTCTTTACAATTTGGCATGTTTTTGCAGTGGCTTGTTCCGATTGTTTCTTTCCATGTTTAGTGCTTCCCTCAGAAACTCTTGTAAGATAGGCCTGGTGGTGACAAAATCTCTCAGCATTTGCCTGTCTGTAAAGGATTTTATTTCTCCTTCACTTATGAAGCTTAATTTGGCTGGATATGAAAATCTGGGTTGAAAATTCTTTTCTTTAAGAATGTTGAATATTGGCCCCCACTCTCTTCTGGCTTATAGGGTTTCTGCTGAGAGATATTCTGTTAATCTGATGGGCTTTCCTTTGTGGGCAACCCGACCTTTCTCTCTGGCTGCCCTTAACACTTTTTCCTTCATTTCAATGTTGGTGAATCTGACAATTATGTATTTTGGGGTTGCTCTTCTCGAGGAGTATCTTTGTGGTGTTCTCTGTATTTCTTGCATTTGAATGTTGGCCTGTCTTGCTAGGTTGGGGAAGTTCTCCTGGATAATATCCTGCAGAGTGTTTTCCAACTTG